ATAGCAATAATAAAAAAAAATAATAAGTATATAGCAATATTAAGTTAGAATAATTATATTAATTTTAGGAATAGAAACAGAACATTCATTTTGAAATTGGGGAAAGAAATAACAAACGGAAACCACAATACAACCAATTTAGGCATAGGACAATTTTCAAACTGTTTTATAGAGCACATAACTAGAGCCAATAATGAATTAACCATACCATACACCGAAGTGGAATTAAATGAGATAACTCGTAACATAAAAACGTTTCTGCAAAATATGACAGAGAACAGAATGGAAGATTTGGGAAAAATTAACTGTCAGGATCTAATAGATTTTATCGATATTATTCCTTAACCAGAAGACCTACTATATTATAAAAACTTATTCTCAGAAAATAATTAATAACCCAATGTAATAAAAGGGGATTCAGATAAAGATTAAAAACTGATTTATTAAACAAAAATATATATGATAATTAACATCATTCAGTCTAATAAACAGTTTTTCCTTTAAATTAATTAATCGGAATCATCTTCTTCATCATCCGATAATAAAATTCCCGATACAACATGGTCCGGTGGAGGGGTAAACCCCTCTGACCATTCAATCTCTATCGTTATGTCTGGGCCTCGAGCTAATAAAAAATAATGATAAAAAAAAATTACATTAATTAAATTCAGAAGTAAAAAAAAAAAAATATATATACGCACGATTTCGAATGACGTAGGTACGAATCCGGGTTTCATCAGGTTTTCTGGGATCCATGTTTTCTTTATATAATAAATCTAGTCAAAAAAAAATACAATAAAATAATAACAAAAAAAATAAATACGATGAAAACAAATTTTAATTTTAGGGACAGACAAAGAAAATTCATTGTGGAACTAGGAATGGCGATCGAACAAGAAATTCACGAAACATATACTTTAGGACCGGAACACACACCGAGGTTAATAGGACATATTAATACAGCGAATAATTTTATGGAGGAACCATTTGGTACTCTCGAAATAACAAAAATTACGCAAATTTTAACACTAATTATGTACGGTTTGTCATCAGATTCGCTAACATCCACAAATAACTTATGTAAACGGTTAATAGATTATATGAAACTCTTACATGATGCTAGAGATATTTTGGATTATATAAGATGGTATTAATTTTATAAGATTATAATAAGATAGTTAGTTTAATATGAATATACTTTATACTTTTAGATTGGTGATGGTGACGAGTTTTCTAGTCAATACTGTCGACTCTGACGAAATAAATGCATCAGAGTACTTCTCGTATATGCCTTATGGAGTTGGCAGGGGAATACAATATGAAGGGTTGGGGCCAGTTAGATTAATAGGGGCTCAATACAGTCTTGTAATGTTTTTCTCATTAAAAGAATATAACACGAAATATGAACTATTGGGGGAAAAAATATAAAATATAACAAATTTATGTACTGACCAGAAATACCAAGATTTATGTGGAAAATATCAAATAGTAATTACAGATTTATATAACGAAATAACTAAACAGAAAGAACGTACATATATGTCACTAGGAAGTACTATAGAGGAAGATAAACATAGAAAGAAAAGAGGACTAATAAACATAATAGGTAACACCATGCATACATTATTTGGCGTATGTGATGACAAATGCACTAAGAAAACACGAGAAGCTATACAAAAAACGGAAGAATCAGGAACTAACATATTACACATAATGGAAACCCAAACCACTGTAGTAAAATCAACAATAAGAAGTATCGGTACAATAAATCAAACCGAACAATTATACAATAATATTAAGGAAAAGGAACAAAAACTATACGAAAAAATGTCAAAAATACAAAACAAAACAAATGATATATTAGATTTACTAATGAAAAATGAAAAACATAATTTATACACAATAATTATAAATCAATATTCCTACGAAACAGAAACATTGGGACAAATAGTAACCGCCGCTAGAGAAGGTATGATGCACCCAGGTCTTATGACACCGCAAGAACTAGCATCAACATTAAAAACAATAGAACAAAATATAAAGAAAATATACAGTATTCCGATGGGAACAAGGAGATGGGAACTAAATGAATTTCAAAAATTACAAAAATAAGAATCTACTATTCGAACGACAGATTAGTATTTGATATAGTAATACCATTGATTATTGACACTGAACTTTCATTATACAGGTTAACACCAATACCAATGCGTCATAAGCAAGATAATTCTAGTGGGTGGTACATGATGGACATCACTTACAATAATATTGCTGTAACCAAAGGTTATAAAAGGTTTACTACATACACAGATCAACAATTAAACGAATGTAAAGAAACATCAATATACAAAATATGTAATACACCACAACCTGTACAGGACAACAATGAACGACAACCATGCAAAGTAGAATACTTCATGAAATCTGACACATATTCTAATCCTGAGTTATGTACAGTAAAGTAAATTAATTTAAAGAGAAGCATATACCAAAAATTGAAAAAAAAGAATATATGGATTCATGCAGGAAAAGAGACATTAACAGTAAGTTGCGCTAACCTAATAGATCCATTCATAATACAAACAAATGAAGCAGGAGAAATAGCTATAAACGACATCAGTTGCCAAGTATTTGCACGGGACGCAGTATTAACTGCCACGGAAGAAATCCAAAATACAAAATATAAAGACTTCACACCTGTAAATAACATGAATAATATTTTAGAAAAAATACCCGAACATATACACAAATTCGAAACAGATGAAAAATGGGAAAAGGGACCAGCTATGCAATTCACAGATTTACACGATGCATCCAAATCTTTAGACGAAGTACAACAAATGATTAACCAAGAACTTTTAAGAGAACAAAATCAAAAACATCAATTTGTACACAGTAATTTGCTTATACGTAACAATAGTACTGGCATTAATATCTATTATACTAAGGGCCGTTATTACAATCGACCGCTAAACCTTCCACTAGCTTAGCGAGCACATTTAGCGGCTAGATTTTAAAATTTCGTTATTACAATGTTTCGCTATGCTAAATGCTACCTCTAACTATGAGTTTTGCGGACACATATTTTAGTGGCAGGTTTTGGTGCCTGCTAAGGTATTTAGCGGGAAGAATGTCATAGATTATTATTTCTTATCAATTTATTATTCAGACTTTTTACGTTTTTAATAATATTTTAATTAGGTATAAAGCTTTTTATTTATATCTTTTTCTTGAAAAATGAATAATATTCATAATATTATTGAATTTATTGATGATGTGAATAATATTGGAGGTAGAAGACCTCAAGTGTATAAAGATAGGCCCAATTTATATGAAATATTAACCGACGAAGAATTTAAATACAGATTTCGTTTATCGAAAAGTTGCGTAGATTATTTATTATCATTATTAGAAGGAAAGCTAAAAACAGCTACTGACCGGTAAGTACATACTATACAGTATACAGGCATAATTTTTATTTTATTAATGAAATATTTTTTTAGGAATATGACAATGTCACCAATGAACAAAGTACTCATTACACTGCGTTTTTATGCATTGGGGACTATGTTAATATCAGTGGCCGATATGTTTGGTGTTAGTATATCTTGTGCTAGTAAAACAATAAGAGATGTTTCGTACGTGATTGCCGAATTGAGTAGCATATTTATACAAATCCCTGTACATAATATTAAAGATACAAAAATGAAGATGTACGAAATAGCAAGATTTCCATTAGTCTTCGGTGCCATTGATTGTACACATGTACGAATTCAATCACCAGGAGGTCACGATAGTGAAATGTTTCGAAATCGTAAAGGGTAAATATTGACATAAAATAATACTTATATCTGTATGGCAGTAAAGTGGATACCTATAATATATTATATAGGTATATTATAAATTATATACCTACTATAATTATTAATTATTATAATGTTCTATATAATATACAGTATACACAGTATGTTTCATTTACATGTATAATGTATATATTTATTTTGAGTAACCTTATAAATGACTGTAATATTTGTATAATATACCTACAGAATACAGATGCATGTAAAATTTACATATAACTATGAGCTAATGCTATTATTGTATTATAATTTTAAATTATACTTTTTTATATGTTGTAGATATTTTTCTTTGAATGTGCAAGCCCTTGTGAATTCAGAATTGCAGTTTATGGATATTGTAGCTAGATGGCCAGGTTCAGCACATGACAGTCACATATTCCGAAATTCAAGATTATTTGCTAGGTTAGAATCTGGAGAATTTCAGAAAATGGCTATCCTAGGTGACAGTGGGTATGCATTAAAACCATACTTATTAACACCAATATCAAACCCTGTTGGACGTATACAGATGTTGTACAACGAATCTCAAATTAGAACAAGGAATGTAGTTGAAAGGAGTTTTGGGGTCTGGAAGAGACGATTCCCAGTATTATCACATGGTATATATTTTCAAGTTTTTTAATTTTAATTTTTACTATTATTTTTTTCGTAATCCTCCTATTTATAATTTCAAGGTTTACGATTACAACTTAAAACGGTTCAAGCCATTATAGTGGCAACAGCAGTACTGCACAATATATGTAGAGAGATGAAAGAAGATTTACCAAATGATAATTTTGAGTTAACGGAACAACATAACGAGACTGAAGACATTATTGAAGTCGAATATAATGATGATGGTAGAGACCAAGACTCGACAATGAGAGACATGCTCTTAAATAACTATTTTGCAAGGTAATAATTGCATACACAAATACTTTATTAATTGTATACATATTTTATTTATTAAGAATACAATCTAACCTAACATTATATTTTTATTTTTCAGATTAGTTACAGATTAATTACAGATTTAAAATTGGTACAGATTAATACCAACAATGAAATTTAATAAAATATGTACATATATAATTTTACAATTTTAAATATAAATAATAAATATTGAATTAATTTTTAATTAAAATTCATTTTTATCAAGGTTCAATAATGTTTTTTTTTAATTTCTATATCCAATTCCAAAGCTTTGACACGTAACTCATGTTCAATTTTATCCCATTCAAAACGCATTGCTGTTCTCTCACTTTCCATCTTAACCAAATCCAACTGTTGTTCATAGACCTCATTCTTTTTATTTAAATTTAAACTATTATTATGATTCCTCCTTTTCTGTATTAGTTGACTATTATACTTGGTTTTTGCTTTACCAGTTTGCAAATTACTGGAAATTGGGTGACGTAATGCACCTGGTGACCAAGTATTCCAATCGTGTTGATAACTAGTTGTAGGTATTTGAGGAATAATCACATCATCATCTTCACTCTTCTTGTTCTCAACTGTAACCAACTTCTATAAATAACAATTTCTATATAATTAGTCAGTATTAAGATATTATTATTATACAGATATACTACATTATTCAACTGTCCAGTTTCTTTAAAGCATGTATTTACATTATGTAATTGACTATCTTCAAACATATTTGGGCTATGCATCATATTTTCTAGTACTACCACCTCCATGCCGGCTATATCAATATCTTCTGAATTATTTGGAACTAGTTCTGATGAATATTTTGCGACCACACCCAAAAGTGTTTTCGACTAAGAATACCACTTTCAGTCGTGAGGTCCATATCAAGGACGACTGTACACGCGCCGCTCACTTCAAAGGACGCCGCCACCATATATATAGGGGACAGCGAGACAACCTGAGTAGATGTATCCAGAGACGAGAACAACACACGACTCGCTTAGCCGCCCAGCCATCACACACAATTTACACGGAGATTATCAATTTTGGAACGAGCTACAATTCGCTACAATTCGCTACAATCAACACTACTATTCTGCTTATTTTGTCTGGTTTAATATAATACATTTGATTACCAAACTAATTTGACTATTATTATTTATCAAAGTACATCAGCTTTTGGATCCCTGAAGGGCCGCATGTAACAAAAATATATTTGTTCAACCATTTGCATGTGATTGTGAGTAATATTGTAGCTGGGGATTTTTTTTCCTAGGGTCGGGGATTTTTTTTCCGATTACCATTATGGTATATTTATTTAAAAAAAGAGTAATTTGGTGATGTGGGAGGCTTTGCCCCCCGCGGCTCTATTTTCTGAAATTAACTGGACCCTCCCCATGACAAATTCCTAAATACACCACTGGGGAGATTTAAATTAGCTTTAAAAATATTAAAATATGTAAGCAATTATGAAGGCGTACACTGTACAGTGACTACGGAGAGGCGGCATGGCATATTATATTATAATTTTCATGAATCCACTTTCAATGGCGCGTATAATACGCGGATTTTTTCCCCCGGCCACTCGCCGATAACATTATGATTGAAATTACTGTCGGGCGGCAGTTTCACTAAATCCGACGACCGAATTACTAAAATAATATTGACATAGATACACCGACGATATAATATACGAGAACACGATGTACAATATAATATATAATATATCAATTACTTCTATACATTTTTATTTTTAGTTAATTATAATTTACAAGTATCTAGCGGTATCGGACTCTCCTGTGACGAGCCGCCCTGGGTATTATTGGGCACAAAACGGCACAACGTGTCAACGTCAACCAACACAATAGCAGTGTTTATTTACATATATACGAATTATTGTACAAAAATACTTTGTGAAACATTTAAGGTACGGTGTCCAAGGCGCGGCCGGCCGCAGCGACTGGCCGCCGCGGCTACTGCTGCGACTACTGTGGTGATCAGCCGCCGATGTCTGACTGTTGTTCTACACCGGCGACTGGCCGCTGCGGCTCGTCAAAATAGTGTGCTTTTAGAGCTCGTACTGTGTAGACCTATTTATTCTGTGTGGAGTTTGTACCAGTATATTCAATATGGTCAATACGTACATCATGAATAACAATAAAATTGTGCAGCTTTTATTGGAGGAGGAAGAAGAGGAAGACAAATTATTTTCCTACTTAAATCCAAAAAAAAAAAGCTGATATTTTATATCAAAGTCGTCCAAATGAAGGTTTTTTTGAAATTTTAATTGAGAGACACTTATTAAATAATGAAACAAAATTTCGCGAGTTTTTGCGGGTTAATCGTCAACAGTTCGACTATTTATTATCGTTAGTTACGTTTGAACTTACTTTACCACCCAGTAACAGAGTGAAAAAACCAATTACAGAAAAACTGTCACTGACATTGAGGTAACTATACTGTATACATAATAATGCTTCTCAGTTCTCATAATAAAACTTTAGGACATAATGTACCTTAATACGACTTTCTTAGTTATTCCACTTGTTTACATTCTCATTCTCATTTAATTTGTTACCTTATACGCATAATATACTTTGTAAAAAATAATTTTTTAACAGGTACATGGCTACTGGTGAGTCATTTCGATCGTTATCGTTTAGTTTTCGAATATGTCATACATATATAGGCAGAATTGTGAAGGAAACGTTACTGGTTTTGAAAAAAAGTTTAAAACCGATATTTGTACCAGATCCAAGTGAAATTGATTTCAAAAAGAAAGCAAATGAATTTTGTTACAAGTGGAACTTTCCCAATTGCATTCTGGCCATTGATGGCAAGCATATTAGAGTTCGGAGTCCAGATAATTCAGGGTCATTATTCCATAATTATAAAGATTTTTTTCCGTCGTTTTGTTGGCAATGGTCGATGCTAACTGTAAATTTGTGGTGGTGGATATAGGATCGTATGGGAAAGAAGAAGACAGTGGTATTTTTCTCAAATCCATTATGGGGCAACAGATTTTAAATGGATCATTTAGTTTTCCAGAGGATTGTTCTCTTCCAGGTTCTGATATAATTGTCCCGCATGTAATCGTTGGGGATGAAGATTTTCGTCTACACACGCATATAATGAAACCCTACTCGAGAAAATCAAGCAGAGACGATTCTACAAAAACGGTATTCAATTATAGACTTAGTCGAGCTAGACGTGTGACCGAAAACGCGTTTGGTTTGCTAAGCCAAGTTTTTCGTGTTTTTTATCAACCCATTAACCTCGAAATGTCGACTTGTGACGACTTGGTATGGGTAGCTTGTATCTTACATAACATGTTAAGGGATGGTTATTTGGAAAATAACAAACGCCCATACTTCGAATATGATCATGATCATGACTTACCTTCCAACAGCATGCTACCTATACGTAGAGGAGGTGGATTTTTACACGCAAATGGATTCGAGGTGAGAGAACGATTTAAAACATTTTTTAATAATGAAGGATCAGTATCTTGGCAGAGATAATTTATATACATTTTATACTTACTTATAATTATTATTCTTAATATACTAAACTACGTAATATTTGTAATTAGGTAGTTATAATAAAACAATGTAGGTATTACACTGTAGTCATATTATGTTCATTAAATACTATATGAGAAAACAAAACAGTTATTACAGATATTTTTTAATAATTTTATTTTATGATTATGTAACACTATACTATAGAAATAAGTAGACAAATGTGTATTATATTATTTCTGCTTGTTCTATTTTTTTTTTTTTTTTTTTTTATTATGAATTATAATATAAAAAAATTACAGAAATGTAAATTATTATGTAAGTAACAATGGAACTGTATTTTTATTAAAATATAATAAGTACGCATTATAAAGATAGATTTAAATTTTATAAATTTAACCTGCAATCTATCCGGAATTATTATTTGGAATTATTGAAGTATGCCGATGAAGATGTACTTTCCAAGTCGTTTTGAGGCGAGAATGTCAAGTGCGATGGTGCGATGGCTTGTTGGTTGATAGCTGTAGTGTATGAAATGGTAGACGATGAAGTTTGAGAACGGTCTGAGTCAGAGTATGAAATCGGCGATATGTTTTGTGTGTTAGAAACTCCGTAGTAATGTTGTTGGTTTTGTTGGAAGTTTTGAATCGGAAAAAAACTAGGCGCACTAATTTGAGGAGGATTAGCATATTTTTCTTGAAGCTCATTTATAAACATAAGTGGCTTAATTTTAGCTTCATTAATGCCCATTGTCGGTGATTTTTTTACAGTAAGAGCTATGCTTTTAAAAAATAAATCAATGTCATCTTCTTCATTTTTATTGGCGTTTAAAAGTTGTTCATTTTGTTGTTGAATGCTTTGGATTATCATGTTTCGATCTTGAGTTTTTTTTGCCAATATTGCGGCTAGCTTATCCGTTTTTGATCTAGCACGATTACCCGCAAATGAGCACCCTGGTAAGTCAACATCATCTTTATTTGAATCATCAATATCAATCTCATCGTCAGTTATTTAAAAAATTATAATTGGGCCTCTGGACCAAAGCTATTATGTGCTACTATTTTTCCTTATCTACACGAACAGGTCGTGGGATTAGCTTTGCAAGTACCTATATTGGCTGTTCTTTTGACTTTTGTCACATTTACCGACGGCACCAATAACAAATAATTGTACAAATATACAAGCCCTATTAATTATGCATATTTAGTCAAGTATAAATTTATGTGAACTGTTGTCTGTTATATATTGTTACCATTTTATATAGTATGTACATTATAAAATACTGGAATATTTAAATTATACAAAAATACTTACTAGATCTTCCAACTTTTATGGAAATATCTTTCCATATCTCATCTTTCAAAATGATGTCTTTGTGACTTGTTTTTGATAAATCATAAAGTACAGGATTATTACGAACTTCTTCAATCAAAACCTCTTCTTGATCAGGCAAGAATACAACTTTTGCAAGGTTTTGTGATTCAGCCATGGTGTTTAAAGTATAATATAAAGTATAGTATACAAATTTGAAATATAAATAGCAAAAGCCGCTGACGACTGTCGCTGTGCACTGCTTTCGAGTGAGTAGAGCCGCGGGTCGCAGCGGCCCATTCATAGTCGCAAAGCCGCAGTCGCTCATTGGACACCAGTCCATAGGAATCGTGTAAAAACAGTGTGGTCGCGACAGTCACGACCGCCAGCCGCGCCTTGGACACCGTACCTTTACAATGACGTAGGACCCGGGCGGTCGGTTTTCCACGAAACTAGTAACCAACAAACAATAGGAACATTGGGTGGGTTGGCGTGTGGTGTAGGCTGTTCAATATTTAAAAATTTTAAAAATGTATTATAATAATGTTCTGACATTTAAATTTGATAATAGGTTAATTCACTCCTTAGATCATATACTTAGTATAGTTTTATGTATTAATTTTATGTACGAATCATACGAGTAAACATAAAACAACTCATCGGCGAGTGCATGGTAATACATACATTATAGTATATTTATGCCATGGGCGAGTGCAAGAAAACTATACTGAACCAGCAGTGGCGCCGAACTATTTTTTTTTAGGTGTGGCAATGAACAATTACTTATATAGCCACCTCCCCCATTGGATATTGGCTATTAGAACGAAGTCGTGGGGGCAACCTCCGCCCCACCAATTTTTAATCTAAAAAATATTTTCACAAGTTATAATATTTACCGCATTATGTCTACAATATAGCATTATTTAATTTTTTAACATATTACAGTTAAGATTATCTTCAGTAAAAGCCTCCTCAAAATGAAAATCAAGTTTTTATCATCTAAAAACGATATTCACAGTCACTGATTTAGTTATTTAAGCTTTAAGCTAGGTAGGTACATCATATCATTCAGTAATAAATAGAACTATTACATTTTTTTTCTTATACCCATGTAAATATATGTATATTATTTGGTTAATGGTTTGCATAATATTTTTTGAGTATAATGTACTATAGTAATACTTATATTAAATAAAAATATAAATAATTGCTTTAGTTTCAATTCCAAAATAACGTTCGCGGTATATTGACTAATTTTGTAAAAATCTGTACTTAAAATGCTTACAAAAAAAAAATAATATAATATAATAATGTATCTTCATTATTTAAAAATTGCTATTATAACAACTTATGAGGAACCTTGTATTAATTGTTTAAGCTTTTAGACCCGTCTCTAAATAGGTCAAAAAAAGCGGTAAAGCACGATTGAGCATAAAACGATTGAGCATAGACCTTTTTAGCAACACGATTGAGCATAGTATATTTTATGCGATGTTGCCACATTCACGTTGCCAACATTTTGTTATCATTATTTTCTCGTATTATTACACCAATTATTATGATATCTGAGGCGAGCCGTGAGCTTTATCGGCTTTATCAATTTTATCGACAATGTTATCGATTAATAAATTAGTTCCGGAGCAAAACGACGTTTTAAACATTTAGCATCGGGGGGAAATATAAGATAATTAAGATACAAATCCAAAGTTATTATAGAAATAATATCAGTGTTCGATCACCTGTATAGTGTATAGTGCGTGTATACTTAGTGCGTTTTTCTATTTTTTTTAAATATGGATATAACAATTATTTTATCGGAAAGAGGCAAAGAATTGGCCCTAGTTAATTTATACAAGTATAAATTAATTGGAGAGCGAAAAAAAGACAATCATTTGAGATGGAGGTGTACTAATAATAAATGTTCGGCAATAATGTTCTTGGGTTTAGATAAACGTAAAGTGATTGAAACTACTGTACAACATAATCACGATAAAAATTCTATTGAGAAAATAGAAACACAAGTTTTAAGAGAAAATTGCAAAAGAAAAGCTGAAGAATCAATTTCCACACGGCCACTTACAATTATTCGCACTGAACTTTTAAATTCTTCTTCAACATCAAATTTAAACAACCAAAATGTTTTGATTTTATTATTTTCATAAGTCATAAGTCATAACTATTATTATTATTTTATTATTAACAAAAAGATCTATATACTGTGACAACTTTTTAAAAATATTTTGATTTTATTATTTTCATAAGTCATAAGTCATAACTATGATTATTATTTTATTATCAACAAAAAGATCTATAAATTATACTGTGACAACTATTTACATATTAATATGAAAACATGATATTTTTTTGTCATGTTATATTTTGAATTATTATAATTATTTAAATAAATGTTTTTATACGATACAGTTCAAAATTGAAAATGGCAACGTTGCAGAGTTTTTTATGTTCAATCGTGTTGGTTTTCTTTTGTATTTCAATTTCCTTTGATACGCCGACAATTTATGCTCAATCGTGTCGCAAAAAAGGTGTTTTATGCTCAATCGTGTCGCAGCCAAAAAAAGTAGAAATATTTTGAACATTTCATCATGTAGGTACCTTTAGACAGTTGTAATATTTTATCATAATCATTTGGTGAAAAATTGAAGTATCTATTTATAGTTGATTTTTGAATTACAACAAAATATAAAAAATCGTTTGAGGAGAAATTATTAACTAACTGTTGAATATCCATCGTAAAAAATTAATATCAAATGTTTAAGCGAAATGATTCCAGTGTTGGGAATAGCTCACTAAAATAATATCTAGATAATGAGTTTTAAAATAAATTATCTTAAAATGTTATCCAGTAATAAATTAAAATATATTATAACACAAATATTGGTTAGGTTACAAGAACACAAGAGAATTACATGGACAGTTATTAGTCGCGTTGACTCGTTTGTATTTTGTTTTGATAATCTGATCCTAAAATTTAAACTCTGAAGTATATCAATATTTATATTATAATGGATACTGTCTGTATAATAGTAATAGAATTGGCATCGGGCATCAAGCGGTGGGATGTCTACCAACAACCACCAATAACCCACCACCGATAAATCATCCTACAAATTACAACAAATACATTTTATCACGACTTAAACTAGACGGTTATTTTTTTAATAATTTAAATATGTGTTCATTGCTATTGTCAATTTAGATTTAATTTGAGAAAAAAATATCAATTAATCTCAAATTATTATTATACATTTTACTACATTTATATTTTATAACGAATACTATTTAAATTTAAAGAAACATATAGTGTTTTATTTTTTTTGACATTGCTGGCTAGCAGATAAAAAGATGCAAACACTATTTTCATCACAGCCAATTGAGAAGTCTTTGGGTAAATAACTATAGGAGGTTAAAGTATCATTGTTTTTAAGACTTCAAGCTACATTGTTATTAGCTAGTTTTTACTGTGGACAATATTCCACACCATTATTTTTAACTTGCAATTCACTATATGTCATGCGGGAAGCTCAAAAATAAATCATAAAATGAACTTCGTTTTTTTGACACTCCATTCGGTTTGTGAGGCGGCTACGGTTGGTACGCGTTTTTTATGTGAGGCAGATAGATCGTCGCAAAGAACCCTGGTGGTCACCCATCTGGGAGCCTGCTCGACC